TATAGCTAAAAGTTTGACATGTTAAAAAATGAAAAAAAAAATTAGCATTTCTTTTTAATTGAGTGGGCAGAAGAGTCAAAATGCAAGCCTAAACTGAGACAATTGGTATATGCTGATGTTGGTTAACAATCTTCCTTATGTTTAGGTATTCTTTTACCTTATGAGTTCAGTGATATGCACTCTTTTATTGTTACTCTAGTCTTTGATCCTGGGATTTACAAACAAGTATTTTGCTTTCACTTGTGCACAACACATCCCATTCAGCATAATTTGGTGTTGAACCTGCTTGGCCAAATTAATATTTACTCTCTGCGGTTTTTTTATTGTTTGTTATTTGGGTAATTGATCAACTGCCCCAATGAAGTTGGACCAAAGCTATTTTGTATCAAAAATGTAGGTAGTCTTTCACTTCTAGATTTGCTTATGTGTAGGTTATTTAGAGCAAAAAATAAGGAAAGATATTCCCTGATAACTTAATTTTGGTTATGTGGTTCTGTTACAGCTAGTGGTTTTCTAATAACTACTGTAAGTTAGATCAGCAAAATGCTTGGCTGAATAAGACATCATTGACCTATATACTTGAAACAGCTGAAAGATAAATCCTTTTTTGTTTTGTAACTTCTTTGGTGAGGATTTTTGTTGTTGGTTTGATTTTAGTTGGTTTTGTTTGTTTGTTTGTTTGTTTGGGGGTTTTTCTTTTTTTTTTTGTTTTGTTTTGGTTTTTTGTTTGTTTGTTTGTTTTGTTGTTGTTTTTTGGGTTTTTTTTTTTTTTTTGTAGTTTGATGGTTGTGGTGTTTTTTTCTGCTTACTGTTATTTGTTTTAGAAATCCAGGTTCTGGTGTTCCATGTCTTTTCAGGCCATATTTGCACATTAGGTGTTGCTCGTGAAAATGAGCTGCTCATTCACCCCACTCTGAGCCTTACATTCATCCTCTTAATGTCATCTGGCAGGGAAAGGCCAGATGCTCGAAACCACGGGGGATTGCAGGGGAGAGTCCTGAGATTTGTATGAGGATGAGACCTGAAGGGATGGTACCGTTTTCAGCTGTCACAGGTGGCTTCCAGGATCAAGCTAGAACTCCCTTAGGAGTAAAAGCAAACACAACCCAAACTCTGAACAAAAAATTCTTGGTGTCGCTTTAGATACAAAAGTTAAATTTAGTCTAGTCATTTAGAATGGCTTCTTCCCCTCATTTCCTTCTCTATAAGGGTAATCATAGGCAGTGCATAGAAAAAGCTTTTAAAATCAGAGTCCTCGGGCTAGGGTCTGCAATCCACACAGTCTTTGCATGGATGTGAATCTTGACACCAGGTGCTAAAGCAGGGCAGTTTTGGATTACTGCAGGTGAGATCCCTTATGACAACAGCTCAAGCTAAAACATCTCTTAAATGTCTCTCACATTGGGAAACTCTATGTGATGAGGCACCTACTTCTACCTCCAAAGCCAGATACTCTAGATACTGCACATAAATATTAATATGTCAATTGTAAGCCTAAAACTTTAGTAAATGCTTTTCTTTCCACAGTGCAGTCTGGACAACACCTGGAAACTATTCAGATTTTTTTTTTTTTTCTGGAAAGAACTTTCCATGTTAAGAGTCAAAGCATAACTAATGAAGAAAGCAAATAATTCTCAAAATAATTCTCAAAACTTGGTTTGAAAAATAAAAAAATATGTCATCCTTGAAGGCACTGTGTTTAAAATCAAGCAAGTCTTTTTGCTCAGAGCCAGAGTAGGATATACAAAGCCAGGTGCATAATGCACATCCAAACCTCCCTGATACGGGCATGCAGACATTTGAGCTCATACCTCTGCCTTTGTGTGCAGTTTAGTCACTATTAGCAAGTAGCTTTAAGTGCAACCATGTTCTTTCAGCTCCAAATGTCCAGTATTATTCAAGTGCAATGATTTGAGATGCAGAATAGAAAGTTTTGATTTGTATTTTTAAAATAATTCTGGCCAAGATCTTCTCTCCAGATGGGAACTTACTGTGTAAAAATGCTGGCCCGTACTCTAAAACAAGTAAGATTACCATAGCTCTTAAGGTGTACTTGATCACCTTGCTGAAGGAGAGATGCTTAATTGTACTGCTTGGATGTAAGCATAGTTCTGTTATTTTCCAAGAGAACAAAAGCTTAGGCTAAATAAATTAGGGTAGTTGATAAGATTGTGATAGAAGGTTGGTATTCTATTTTAAGTTTGTAAAATACAAGATGGCAACGTTCAATTACTCTAAATTAAAGGAAATCCCTGAGCTGTCAGTATAAGACAACATTTACGGTGTGATTTCAAGGTGGAAACTTGAGTTCTGTTTGACTCAGCAAGGGGAATGGATTCCACACTGACCCCTTCCCTTTTGTTGTAATGAAACGATCCAGTAGAAAGAGTAAGATGGATTCAGGAGGGAAAACCCAAACACTTCAAGGATAAAAAGCTGTTGAAAATGCTTCTTTTTCTGTTGGACACTCTTCTCCTGTTCAGATGGAAAAACTGGCTATCAGTTAGGTTTTAAGAAGCTTAGAGCTTTTCAAGCTTTTATTGTCTCCATGCAAGTATCAATCAGTTCCCCAAACAACTGGCCACATGAAGCTGGTTACCCTTTTGTTACTGGGTTTGCTTTGAGGAGCTGTTGGGATTTGCCACTGCTGTGTCTCTTGCAGCACATAGAGACAGACACCTCCTTTGCCCTCAGTACTGATGGCCATGCACCAGCAGTGCCTGGTCCAAGTCTCTGTGGCCAGGAAGAAATGAGGAATGTGATCCTGGAGGGGGTATACAGGGGATACACCCATGTGTGCTCCTGTGGCAGTTAGCAGGCAGGTTTTCTTGCTCTCCTCACTTGGCATACATTAGGTATCCCCAGCTGAACATATGGAGCCAGAACCATGTGCCAGTGGTGCTGTGTTTTGTCAAGAACGGTAGGGCTGGGGGAGTACTCTTCAGCTAAGCTTTGAAAGCTACACTTTTTTGTTGCCGGTAACAAAACCAGCTCAGCTTGTACACTATCAAAACATCTTTTGCTTTAACCACATGCCTTTTTTTTTGTTGTACTGTAATCTTCCCTCATAATGTTGCTTTCTTTGAGTTTGTTTGATATAGACAGGAACTCCCACACAGATCCCCACCCCCTCTTTCTCTGTAATTAATTCTGTGATCTTTATTGTGAATATCTCTTGTTGAATCTTTCAAACACACTTCTGAAATAGATCTTTTCACCAGTTTGGCATTGTACTTTCCTCCATTCCTTTCAAAAATGTTTAGAGGAGAAAAGGGAACAATTTCCTCCTCTCAGAGAGACGATCCATTTGTTGCTTTGGGGAATAGTTTGAAATAAACAGATAGGGTTTGCACATAGAATTTAATGAGCTAAATAATAGTCTCAAGACTGTTTCTTTCAGTTTTGTCCAGCACCAAGATTATGATGAAACTTGTGAAATGTCTAGAGTAGTCACTATTTCCATAGTTCTTACTCACACTTAATTTTTGGTTGGTTGCTGACTTTTTTCTTCTGTTTTTCAAATACCAAAGGAAGCGCAGTAGGTGGCCCAATGGAAATTTACTTAGAAACAAATCCTTCAGCTGAAGAAATCAGGCTGATGCACACTAGTGTTGATAAGACTTGGGTTTCTTTGCCCTGGGGTTGGTGAGACCTGTAGATATGAGAGGTACAGCTGTGACCCCCTGACTGAGGAGAAGCAGAACATACTATTCCCAGATCAAAGGGAGGGATTGGTTTGAAGTGCTATTTGCAATCACTTGATGTGCAGGGTGGCTGGCTGCTGGCTGGAAAGGGCTGGGCACTGGTTACCTTGATGCAGTTGGAGAAAGATGGAATTTTGTTGAATCTCAGAAAGGTCTGTCTTCTGATCATCAGGACCAGTGCCACGCATCTGCTGGAGAATGTGTCAGAAACATTTAGGGGGTGTCCACAAGTCTCCTGAGGACTTGAGTTGCTTCTTCTGGTACCACTTTGGAGGCACAAGATCCACCCCTTCAGTGATCAAGGCAGGAGGACATTTTGGCATGCAGAGTGACCTTATCCAGCTGGTGTTAGTGAAAACACCCACCCAAATACTGAGTCCTGTTCTTTGGGTTCAGAAAAGTGACACCCAAGCAAACAAAGTCTACTTGGCATGGTTTGGTAGGTGGCTTGAGAGAAAAACATGGATTGTTTTCTGCCTCTGAAGATGGTTTGTTTTCTTGTTGATGGAGAAAATTGAATTACATTCTAACAAAGGCAACAGCGATAGCTGAGGTTTTTGTGCTGGGGGAGGGTTAGTACAGTATGCTTGTACATTTTTCTTTTCTGTTGAGAATATTAGTGTTATTGTAGCTTTTTGTTTCTTACTTTCAATGGAAGAGGTTGACGGAGAGGTTAGATACCAGTTCTGCCTCAGTGATTCATTAAAGCAGAGCTGGAGGAACGGAAGTCGCCCTGTTCAAAGGTGTGGGGAGTGTTTTATTGTTCTGCATGGTGCTGTGAATGCCAACGATTTTGCAGCTGTGAAAAGGGCTCTTAATGAGTTTCAGCATTTTAATGTACTTCAAGTTCCCAATTGTACAAATTTAAGAAGCTTAGCAATTCAGTATCTCCTGAATAATAGCATTTATTTTATACTCTAAATACACTTGGGGAAGTCTCAACAATATTGCAGGAAGTCTTGGTAATATTGTGGCTCCTTCCCGATGTAATAGCTTTAGAGGACCTAATTGACTTGAACAGTGGAATTGGTCCTTTAAAAAACATGCACACACAACTTTTGATTAATGAGCCCCATAATAAATCATTAATCTTTTTTGGCTCAGAAATTGTCTGAATAGTTTTCAAAGTAGAAGTTGTATATGTGTTCCTAAACTGTCTGTGTGATACTGTGCTTGCATTTCAAATCTATCATCTTAAATTAACAAAAAAAATAATCTACCGTAATTTAATTTTAGAAAAACAAGTCTAAACTCTGAACTAGTTGCTTACTAAGAGGCCTGTGAAGAAATATCTAGATAAGAGTACTTCCTCTTAGAATAATAAAAGCACTGTAAAGTGACCATGTAATAAGTGTCCTTCTTCCTGAAGGATCCTAAAGTGCTTTTACACGTTTTCTATAGTCAATGTGGGTTATTCACCCATCACTTGAATGAAACCACTCTTTACTGACTGTGCTAAACAACACTTTTTATAGGAAGGAAATCACAAATAACTCTTGCATTTGAAACTCTGGGGAGAATTTGAGGTAGGCAGATTGTAATTGCCCAATTTGGAAATGGGCCAGAGACCGTGATTAATATACCCAGGCTGCACTTTAATTGTCCCAGTGTACTCAGGGCCTTGGTTTCAAGTGGGCTTTGTCTCTGAATAGTATTTCTTTTTCTTCATGTTAATTTTGGAGCTTATAGAATGGATATAGCAGGTTTAGCAGAATTGAAGTGGGGAAATTTGTTACTTACATAGGGATTAGCAACACTGGGACAGTACAAAACAATTTTCTAGATGTATCACAAGTGGCAGAAGCTGGTGGTGTATTTTGTTGTTTCTTCTTGTTTCACTACATGTCCTGTGATTTGGTTGACTACCTCGCAATACTTTTTTCCTCATACTTTACTATTTTGAACTCTTGAAATATTGTTATTTAAAGTCTTAAAATTAATAGCATGGTAAATGCAAGTAGCTCTACTCCTCAACTATTCACTTTCTCAGGGTACTGCCTGAACTTTTGAAATAATATAATATTTCTAGAACCTGTGAAAGGCAGCCTAGCAGGTTAAGTTGATTGATCTTTAAAAATAGGGTCATGTAACTCGAAACTATTTCCCATAAAAAACAAACAAGCTGCAGAGGCTGTTGAGGCCTTTTCCCAGCAGAGCCAGCCTCATCCGCTCCCTGGCGTGGAAAGGCTGGGAAACCTCTGAGTGTCAGATCCCATCCTGAGGCTGCTGGATGTGCAATCCTTGTCTGTGGCAGTCACCGACCTGCAGGTCCACAACTGAGTCAACATCACACGGAGGCATTACTCAGTGAGATCCAGTGGATATTTATTTTTCTCTTGGAGAACCTGAGTGTTTTTAAGGGTTTTTTTTGGTAGATTTAGGGGTTTGAGACCAACTCCACATTTAGCACATAGATGTAGGGGATTTTTGTTATTTGGGTATTTTTCTTTTTAAGTGGTCCACAGAATGCATGTAACATTAGCTTGATCTGTTGACAAAGTTGAGCTGAACACAGATTTCTAAGGACTGCATAATATCAGGTTTGGTCCCTTAGGTTTAAAGTGTTTACATGGCTAGTAAAGAAAACTCACACATCCACAGCAGTATGTTTTACCATGTGCCACCAGGAATTGCTACAGTCATGACAGGAACCTAACAAAAAACCTCTGGAATTTCACAGGTATCTTTTCCATCTTACCTCCTTTACAAACCAACTGCATTTTACCTCCACAAAAAAAAAATAGTTGATGTTGTTTTTTTTGTTTGTTTGTTTGATTGATTTTTTGTTTTGGTTTTTTTGTTTTTTTGGTTTTTTGGTTTTTTGCTTTTTAGTTTATATCGTCAACATAAATTTACTGATGATATCAGTATCAGCAAGGATAATCACTGGCATAACAAATGCACCTCAGATAAAGCACTCCTATTTTGCATGACAAAAGGTCTCTCTCTCATTCTTCTTCTTTGCACTAGTGGTGTAAATATTAGAGAGCTGAGAGTTTAAGATGTTCCACTTTTAAGCCTTCAGCTTTTCCTTCCACTAAAACTGTTCTTAAAAGTAGTTATGAATACAGCACCTGAGAGAGGTAATCCAGAAGCCTAAAGTGTTCAGTACTTCAAGTTCTCTTCTTTGATGCTGTCTTTTTCATTATAAAAAAGGATTCTGAATCTGGAATAAAGTCATAGAATCATAGAATGATTTGGGTTGGAAGAGACCTTAAAGATCATCTAGTTCCAACTTCCTGCCTATGTGCAGGGATACCTCCCACTAGACCTGGTTGCTCAGGACTGCCTCTCAGGACCCCACCTGGTCTTGAACTCTTCTAGGAATGGGGCATCCAGACCTTCTCTGGGCAACCCGTGCCTCACCACCCTCACAGTAAAGAATTTCTTCCTGGTATCTAATCTAAACCTGCCCTCTTTCATTTTGAAGCCATTCCCTCTTGTCCTGATGACTCAGATCATTTAAGGACCAGCACAAGAACCAAGTTCAGCTTTCAGCACACTGGGAGGAGACCATACTACTCTCTCTGTATACCCTGCAGCAGATTCCCCCTTGCCATCCACTACATCCAAAATGCCCAACTGCAATTCCTTTCCAGTCTGGAACTCAAGGAATGCCTGTACATCTTGTCTTACAGTTTTATTACTGCAGAAATTCTTAGAGCTGCTTATAAGTGAAAAAGAGAATAATAACATCTTTCATTTGTTGGATTGATGCAGCCATCACTATTTATATGAACAGTTTATACACAAATAAAAGTAAATGTAAAATATTATTATATGCATATATATAAATATTTATTATATTTAATCACACACAAGCAGACCACCAGCTAAGCACATTAAGTGACTGTGTATGGGGACATGTACTTTTTCATACACAGACACTTACACATATGATGCATAATTGCAAATGTGCATCCTTTTTTGGAAGTCTGGATGTAGTCTTAAATGTTTTTACACATAGGCATCTGTTTAAGCAGATCTTCAAAACTGAAAGCATACATAAACTGGAATGCACTTTTATGTGTATATTTTGTTGTTATGTATATAATATAGCACTATACTTATGTACTTAAACACATTATTCCATCTTTGATGGAGAGAGGCTATTTACAAGAGCATGTAGTGACAGGACAAGGCAACTGGCTTAAATCTGAGAGTAGATTTAGGTTAGGTATTAGATGAAGGTGGCAAGGCACAGGAACAGGTTGTCCAGAGAAGTTGTGGATAGCCCATCCCTGGAAGTGCTCCAGGCCAGGCTGGATGGAGCTCTGAGGAACCTGATCTAGTGGAAGGTATCCCGGCCAATGGGCAGGGGGCTTGGAACTAGAAGACTTCTAAGATCCCTTCCAACCCAGGCCATTCCATTATTCCATGATTCCCATGCATACATGCACACACAGACTCACACATACCCATATACATCTTATCCAAAACTGAAATATTGTATAGACATAAGAATAGATATGCATGAACCTCAGAGGGCTTAACATTGGAAAGCTAGTGCTTGTTCTCACAGGTCTGTATAGTGAAACATAGCAAGTCACTGACATGTGAGCAGTCATAGCCAGCCAAGTCCAGATTTCTGGAAAGAAAAGGAAAGATGGAGTTACAGGACTTGGACCATTTCTTTCTTCCATTTCTCCTTCTTGTAGGGTCTGGTCATGTGTACTCAGGCTCAAGTATCGTGCTCTGTTTGAGTTCAACTTGCAGTATCTTTCAATCTCTTGTACTATACTCTTGTATCATCTTGTGCCATCCTTGTACAGTTTGCCTCTGGGTTACAAAGGCAATGAATGAGCTTCATGCAGCAGCACCTCTGAGCTTGTCCTTCCCACCCTGGACAGCTCTGTGCTGCACAGCCACTGTCCAGCCACCCCAGTCCTGGTGCATCTCACGAGCTGACCAGCTGACAGCTGAATCTGTTATTTCATGTTGTTTGCCAGATATTTTTGCTAAATGGCTTTCTCAAAACTCTGTTTCTGCCACAAGCAGGAACAGCCCTTTCACACCAGTTTCTTGACCAGAGGGAAGTTCTTTTTCCTCTCCACAGTAGGACCAGGTTATGGCTTCTCATGGCTGAACAAAATTTGCTTTGTAATTCTATCTTGACTTTTCACAGGTGGATAGAACTGGCCACGTCGTCCTCCTTGCTATACCTGTTCTTGTTTCAGAGTGGTTTTCTGCTTCCTCCTGCAGATAATTGTTGACTTTTTCTTTTTCTCTGTGAATATGCAACGGGAAACATTCATTGGTTTGGAAAACTTGAGTCAGTTGCTGAATATCAGCTAGAAGAAAATGCTGAGAAAACAGCATTCTTCTAGCTGATATGAAATGTGGAAGGAACTAATGAAAGGTTTGTAGGAAAACTCATTAAGAACTTGTGCTTACCTTGGCTTTTGGATGTAAGAGAGTTCATAGGCAACTTTTTGGTTCACTGCTTCCCCCACTGCCATCTTGCACTATGTTTTTTTGTAGATGGAAAAGTACAATAAAATCTCCTTTCCTCTCTGCTTTCATAAAATGGCAAAAGGAGAACCATGTTTCTCGTACTGCTCTCTTTATCCTTCCTTTCTCCCCCAGTATTGTAGATATATAGGAATGTTTACTACTCTCTCCTGACTTTCCCCAAACTTCTAGGTAATGCACTGAACCCCTCAGATCCCTATTTTCTGCCTACACATAGCATAATATACCCTTAAATAATGCTTCCTTCACCAGTGGTACTCGGTTCCTGTGTCAGGGAAGGTAAGCTTTGACACTTAGCTCATCTTACTCTCCCAAGCAGACTATGAGGAACTACAGACACCTGGCCCCTCTTCCTGGCCACCACGGGTTATTGATTTGTTTCCTGTCATTGCTGTGCTTTCCCTGATCATTAATTACAGCCTCTGCAGCTGCCCTGGAGCTGGTCACAGCCCCAGATTAGCTGAGGGCAGAGCAGGGAGGGAAGCAGTCCCACACAACCCAGGCCCCCTTCAGCTACCTGCTGTCTGGGCTCTGCTTTTTGACATTACTGCAGCTGTGGAGCAGGGGACTTCCCTGACAGGAAAAATCTAGGCAGAGACTCCAGCCTGGACACCGTGGGACCATGCATGCCTGCTCAGTTTGGCAAAGAGGCAGGATTTTAACCCCATCATTAACCCTTGCATGTTTCTTTCCTGATGTTGGCCCCTAATCTCAGCTTCATTTACCAGGGCAATCTCATCACATAGAGCAAGACCTGCTCTGATGAGTGCTGAGGAAAGCACAGACAGCTCAGTAGTTCAGGACTGTTGTCATGCAATGGGATTCAGCAGTGTTAATCACAGCAATTCAATCCTGCATTTTTGTTCTATTTTAGTATGTTATGCTTTAAATAAACGAAAGTTTCGTTTTCCTCCCTTACTCATATTATTTCCTCATTTTCATCTCTGGGAGTGGAAACTGATTATTTCAAGTCCTTCTTGCTAATTCTCTGCTGGGACCTGCTGACTCAGCTTTGGAAATTCCACAAATAGGGAAAACGTGGTAGTGTTGTGTCTGTAGTGCTTCTGAGTGATAACCATCCCTTGTCACATTTGAAACACGACTTGGTTGCCTTTTTATATCTGATGCATTTAGATATAGTACAAGTATTTCTGAAGTGTGTATTTTGTGAGCTGAGTCTGATCTTAAATGGAAATGGTATTTTTGTCTGTGTTAAATACAGATTTCTCAAAATAAAGCTGTCAAGGCGGTGTTTTATGATGGGTTTTGGTTTCCTTAAGCAGTGTGTATGTAGATTTTTTTTTCCTTAGGTTTCTGTAGTAGTTAAAGTATCCAGACTCCCTGAAAATTGATGCATCCTCCAGGACTAGTAGGTTTCTATTTCTGGCATGTGCATCAAGATGAATAACTGTTCTCTAGCAGTCTGTACTAACTCAGGCTAAGTCAGCCTCAACCTTTATCCCAACAGGAATTCCCAGACTAGAAAATTCTGACTTCATTTATGGTTTATAGGAAGTAACACAAAACATGACAAAAGAAAGCCTTCCGTTTTCTTCGCAAGCAATCACATGGGACCTGTGCACTGCTTGAATTCGCCTTTGGGTCAGTAGGTCAAATATTAAAAAGCCTTTTACTGTCCCAAAAATTCCTCTTAAAGCTTTTAATGCCGTCCCAGTGCTGATAATTTATTACTGTTAATAGCTATGGTCTTTTTCTAGTCCAAGTGTAGACAGTTAAATGTTAAGTCTTTGAATTTTAAACAAAGAAATCTGAGTTTCCTTAGATTCCTCAGACTTAGTCCCAAATCTAGAGAAGCTTCTCAAGAGAAACATATGAGTTCTACTGATCTACAGGTGGATGCAACACTGGTAATAATTTAACTCCAATCTGTGAAAATCTGTTTTGTCTTTATATTTCTGGCAGCTTTGAAATGAAATATTAAAGAAAACAATAAATGCATGATAACCATGAGGAGAAATGCATTCACTCAGTTATTTGCATCTTTATTAAACTGAATACAGTTTTGAAAATATTTTCTGAGCACTGATGTTGCCAACTAAACCAAAGAAAATTTTTCAGTAGCATTCAGATAGAGAAGGATCAGGCCATGACAGAGCAAATGCTCTGTCCTTGGAAAGAACAGCTGCTAAAAATAGTGGACAGAAAGTCCTAAACCCACTGTTGCCATGTACAGGTTATATGTGCATGAACACATCTGTAACTTGAGGCTCTGCTGCTCCATTATGCCATCCTATAGCCACTGGAAGATCAGACAGCAAAGCCCTCACCTTTGCCATGCTCCTGTTGTTTAAGAAGTCCCATGGCTTCCTTTGCCGAGGAAGGAGCATCCAACCTCTGCTCTAACACCTGCTAATGTGTCCACAGATTACACAGGAGGGGCTAATGCACAGGTTGATCTAAACACTTTTTATCTATAGTTTGAGGAACCCAGTTTTGTCCTCTACAACGACACTGTACACTGACCTCTGCACTGAGCAAGTGGTATTGTATCCTGAGACAGATTGCGGAGAAAACCATTTGTTTCCACTACCATTTGCAATCCTTTTGGTCTAATGTTACTGTCATGACAACGAAAATATTCTGGTTTAAACTTTGAGATAAGGAAGTAGAACAGCCCAGTCAGCTCCAGGACTCACCACTCTTGAGGGTTGCCATCTTGACAAATGTAGACTAAAAGAGCAAGATGTAGAAATTCTGTTGTAATTTGAACCATTTACTCTAGAATCTGCATTGCTGTGTGCACAAATCCAGCTTTTGAGCATTGGTATTGATATTTCAGCTTATGCAAAGCAGAACTGTAGTATTCTTGTAAGAGTTATATTGTCTCAACATAATAAGAGTTTAATCTTGAAATGCTTGGTGTTTCTGTCAGGTTTTTGGAAGTATGATTTTAAGTAGAGCAAAAATAATTGTGAATTTCTTTTTCATATATTATTGCAATCAGATTTTTTTTTCTGAGCATTTTACATACATAAAAAAGCATTTCAACTAATTGCTGTCAATGTAACTGCAGATTTTTTTAAGAACTGAAGTAAGCAGTGCTACTAAATACTTATTATTTGCTGTATCATGTTTTTCAACAGTACAAATAATAATCACAAGAGTCCACTAAAATGAGATGTTTCAGTGCATACTTCTAAATTCTTTTTTTAAAGGGCACTTTAAATTAAGCTGTTAATTTAATGCTATTGGTTAGTACATATAGAAATTTAGGTTGAATGAGTTTTCTTCCTCCCTTATTGATAATGGAAAGTTTACACTCTGGCCTGATTTCATGCCAGTCCTCTGCAAAGCAAGTAATCTCTTCCATGACCTCTTTGCTCTCTGTTGCATATCACAAATACACCCTTTCTGTTGGACAGTGTCATGTAAAACACAGTTCTGGGAGAAAGCAAATAGCAGAGCTAAATTGCAAGATTCTTTAACTTTCTACAGGGAAAAAAGACTTGAATCTTGTGTACATATCAGTTAAAGAATCCTACAACATATACATCAATCAGTATGTCATTAGCCCAGTATAGCATAAAGGAAACAAACATACTTGAGGCAATTTTGTCCAATGGGCAATGGGAAACTGTCGTAAGTTGACCAGAACACCATTAATGATAAATCAAAATAAATAGATAAGGTACTCAACTTAGATTGCAGTTCATCTGGCAGATTAACCTTTTGCTTCCAGAGGTTATAAGTGAGTTTCTGATTTCAGGTTCATGGGTAGGGGTTAGTGTAGTGTTTTCAGAAATTGCTATAGACAGCCATCAGATCATCTGAGGTTGATTGACTCCTACCTAACAGCAATAAAAATAGCAAACCAGTCACTAAAACAGTGTGAAAGAGAATATGGAGGCAACTGAATATATTAAAAGCTAGAATGACACAATGATTTTTTCTGAGTTGATCTGCCTTTTTGGCTGCACTGTACTGAGTAAGTTGGAAGCTGAAAGTTTGTTTCTAGGAAGACTAAGAAGTAAGACCTTTTAAAAATCTCACCTTGTAATAGCTAAAGTATGAATAATAGGTTTTTACATTAGTCTTTGATAGTTCTGGTTACAACTGTGTTCTGTGGAAGTGAAAGGAGTATCTTAGAGACTCTGAAGGCAGCAGTGATAGTTACTCAAGCCCATATTTCCCACAGAAGACAAGGGGCAAATCAAATCACCATTGGCAGGTGAATTGCATGATGGAAGGTTCTGCAGCAGCTCTGTGCTGGACAGACCAATAACAATTCAGTTCCAGCAATATTTAGCTTTAGCAAATGCTGTGCTGTCCATGAACAAACTTAATTAAAAGAAAGCTGAGTCCAGCTTACACAGCAGACACAGCACTCTGATAGTTTGCACAGAGAGAAGAAATCCTGGGCATATATAAACTGTGAACTCTTTTAAAGTTCATGGTTTTAATTAGAGCAGTACTTATAAATAATACTCCTCTGTGGAGCTGATACAGGTGTTTGTGACAAATAATTTCCTACAATACTTTTTGTTTTTTCTCTTCATAGGTCATGGAATTTGGAATTTGCTTGCTTGCAATTTTTGGACAAAATTTGGTAGAGCAATTTTTAGCCTATGCTTTGTTTAAGGAGTAACTGCAAGGAGTGTTTCAGTGATGGCACAGTAATGGTGGGTGCCCAAATCACATATTTTCTGATTAGATGACTCCAGGAAAAGGACTTCAAATGGAATTCTTTTCTGGGGTCCTTATAAAGTTCAGAAGTGCTTAAATGTAATTATTTGAGTAACAATAAAATGCTTTTGAAAATCATTGGGAAAATGCTTTTCTTCAGAATAGCACTTAGGAGTGTTTTCTGTGTACATGTTCAGAACCACTGTGTCTTTTCAGGAAGTGACTTAATTAAGAGACTTTTGACATGACTTAGTGACAATCAAGCTTATACAGAAAATGGATGCTGCAGGTTTCGTTTTAGCTATATTTATAATGTTTGATGGATTTGGCTTAATTATTACTCTATAGTGGTTGCATAATTATTCTGGGGCCAAATCTGCTGTGACTCTTTGGAAATACCATATTTAATATATTTTGCACCATCATAGTGTAAACATCAGGTAAGGCTGGGCACACAAGAAAGGTAATTTATGAAACATGTAGTCAGCACTAAGTCTAAAAAGGCGCAGTGGCTACTGTGAAGTCGATTTGTCAGGGTGTGAGATTTAACATCTCAGGATGTTAAACCTTTGTGTATTGAAGCCTTTGGAAGACCATCAAACAACACAGAGATTCTTTTGAAGGTACCTAAGACAAAATAAGCTGCTTTGAGTAACCAAATGTCCTCTGTTCTTGAGTATTTTCCCTGTGAAACCATCCGTTTAGACAGTCTTGCTTGAGGAGATAGCTCATGCTTCCGACAATGCCTAATGCAAAAAAATTTAGAGTGGAAAAGGAAGCAGCCAGGCTCAGTAGAGATAAAGCCTGGGGGCATCATGCCAATGTTTGAGGGACAGTGTGCTAGTGAGATCTGCTGTCTCAGTGGAGATAAGGGATGGAGATCCATGCAGGAGCAAGAGCACAGGGGTTGTTGATGTGTTAGACACCTCAGAAGCACCTGAGAATGATCATGTTATAATTAGGGCTTCTTCCCCAAAAAATATGTTGGGATTGACAACCCAACAAGGTGATCTGGTTACTGCCATGAAAGAATATAAAAACTGCTTCTATAAATACATCAGCAATAAAAGGAGAGCTAAGGAAAATTTCAATGCATTATTGGATGTTGTCTCGGTTTGAAAGACAGGTATGGTCTAAGGAAAGGCAGGAGCCCCTTTTCTGCGATGCAGAGTGCAATCCCCCTCCCTTTTAATTATTTTAGGTCCAATTCAGACACCTTCAGGCAGGAGATATGGGGATGAGAATAACAGTTCTTTACTGGTATTTAACAAAGCAGAAAAAACAACAACAGCTATAAAAATTGGCAACAGAAACAGTCTAGCTCCGCTCCAGTCCCTTCTGGCCGCAGGCCGTCTCCCTGTGCTGTTACCGGTGCTGTGGGGGCAGGGCAGGTCCCGCGCAGTTGAAGAGGGCTGGGTGATGGCGGCCGCGGCCCAGGGGAGAGAGGGGATGGGGAAAGTTACTCCCCCCTCACGGTGTTGGTCGTGGTGCTCAGCAGAGTGTCCGGAGGTAGTAGGGTGAGCTGGGAGAGCAGCGGAGCGATGTCCAAAGGCAGGGAGCGTGGATCTCAGCGCTGGGATGACAGGGGAAGATGCCAGAGCAGAGCCCAGGTTGTCTTCCCCCTCCAGGAGCCAAACGAGAGCGTCCCCCGCTCCAGACCCCCCTATCCCACCTTTCCTTTTCCGGTCCCCCTCCCCCTCCAGCCACCCCCCTACGAGAGAACATTATCTGTCGTTTTAAGGTGTAGCCACAATTACTTAGCATAACAATGGGAGAAATTCCACAGAAAGAAAAGCGAAGCATTCAACCCCCAACAGATGTAGAGGGAAACAGTGACTAAGAATGAGGAAAAGTCTGATGTACTTAACGCCTTCTTTGTCTTGGTCCTTAATAATGAGAGCAGCAGTTGTTCAGGTGAGCTGAAAGATGAGGATGGGATCAGAATGAAGCCCATATATTCCCAGGAGAAATGGTTAGTGTTCTGCTATACAAGTTCGTGGGGCAGACAGGATCCACCCAAGGATACTGAGGGAGCTTACATAGTGCTCATCGAGCCACTTTCAACCATTTCCCAGCAGGAAGGTTGTGATTGACTGGAAGTTAGCAAATGTGACACCCATCTATAGGGACAAGAATGTCTGGGGAGCTTCAAGTCTGTCAGCCTGCCCTTGGTGCCAGGGAAGTTGGTGGAGCAGATCATCTTGAGCACAATCACACAGCACATACAGAACAACCAGGCATCAGGCCCAGTCAGGACGGTTTAAGAGGGGCAGGTACCTCTTGACCAACCTGATCTCCTCCTATGACAAGGCGACACACTTAGTGGATGAGGGAAGGACTGTGGATGTTGCTTATCTACACTTTACTGCAGCCTTTGATGCTGTTTCCCACAACATTCTCTGGGAGAAACTGACTATGGTTTGGATGGCATGTGCTTTAACTCAATAAAAACTGTCTGGATGGTCAGGACCAGGGAAAGGTTGTGGATGGAGTTGCATCCAGTTGGCAGCTGGTGACAAGTGGTGTTCCCCAGGGATCAGTGCTGGGGCCAGGCCTGTGTAATATCTTTATCAATGATCTGAATGAGGGGATTGAGTGCACCCTCAGACTGCAGATGATCTAAAGTTGGGCAGGAGTGTTCGTCTGCTGGAGGGTGGGGAGGCTCTAGGAGGGATCTGGACAGGCTGGAATGATGGGGAAAGGCCAGTTGTGTGAGGTTCAACAATGTGTCATAACAACCCCATTGAACACTGCAGGCTTGGGAAAGAGCAGCTGGAGATCTGCCTGGTGGAAAAGGACCTGGGGGTGCTGCTTGACATCCAGTTAAACATGAGCCAGCATGTGCCCAGGTCACCCATGGCATCCTGGCTTGTATCAGCAACAGTGTGGCCACCAGGAGCAGGGCAGTGAGTGCCCCCTCTGTACTCGGCACTGGTGAGGCCACACCTCAAATCCTGTGTTCAGTTCTGGGCCACTCACTGCAAAACAGACATTGAGGGGCTGGAGGGTGTCCAGAGAAGGGCAATAGAGCTGGTGATGGTTCTGGAGCACAAGTCTTGTGAGAATCAACTGAAGGAGCAGGAGTTATTCAGCCTGAAGAAAAGGAGGCTCAGTGGAGACCTTATCATTCTCCACAACTGCCTGGAAGGAGGTTGTAGCCAGATGGGGATCAGTCTCCCAGGAAACAAGTGATAGGACAAGAGAAAATTTTCTTCAGTTGCACCAGGGGAGGTTCAGATTGAATATCAGGAAAAACAATTTTGCCATAAGGATTATCAAGCACTGGAACAGGCTGCCCAGGGAAGTGGTGGAGTCATCTCTGGAAGGATTTAAAAGACAAGTACATATGGCAGGTAGGGACATGGTTTAATGACAGACTTAGCAGTGCTGGGCTGAGGGATGGAATTAGTGATCATAAAGGTCTTTTCCAACTTAAACCATTCCAAGATTCTGTGAAAGAGCTTCAGAAATACTCTTGACAAGGAGGCCTGCATTATTTTAGCAGTTTCCTTCAACTGTACCTGTTATATTATTAATACATTGTGCACTAATAGAATCCATGTGAAGTTTGGGCTTTCTATACAGCATTGTAAGCCTTTTGGTGTGGTGGTCAACAAGAGAGTGAAACTAGCCAGGGATCAATAGTTACCTGACCGTTGACTTAGCTGTCAAAAATGTGCCCACACAAAGGAAAGCAAATAAGCAAGGAAAAATTCAAAGGGAAACCTGGCAGCTGCACTTCATTCATTTTGTTCACCTCGTGTTACTGCAATGATGGCTCAAAATATGTCATTGATTAATCTGCAAGGCTGCATCATCTGGACCATTGCTATAGCACAGGTTTCATGAGAGTTTTTTAGTTTGTTCCTTCTTTATTTAAAAAAATATGTAATGTAAAGAAACGTTTGAAAGCAGGACTACTGCCAATTCATATCAATGTATTGTCATTGATTGGAAAGGCACCACAAGAACATACACAGGCAAGATCTCCATCCCCATCCACTACACCATATCCTTCCTTTCCATCCTCGCTGAGAAAGAAGAAAAAGGATTTCCTGCTGTCACTTCTCTGATACCAGGAGGTGGTAGAGTTTGGGGTGACTTTCTTTTAACTTTCACATTACTAGCCTATATTCATCCCATCTAACAGTGATTAAGTAAGTTAGAAGCATTCTGCCATGCCTGAATAGGTCAGTGAAGAGAGAACATCTCTAAATGTTCCTTGAAGACATTAAGTGTCAGAGCTGAAGTTAAACACCAGTATTATAAATTCAGTACCTTACACTGTCTGAAACCAGGCATCTTTTGCACGTGTGAAAAAATATGCTATATTAATGTGGAAAAGTAGCAGGACTAAATGGAGTAAAAATAGAAAACTGGGGGGAAAGTCTTTTCTTTCCGAATTTTGATCTGAATTCAACCAAATGCACATAAAATCAGCTTTTAAATTAATGTCTGTTTCAGATGTCCTGAAAAGTTCTCGCAGTACTAAAAATGTGAATATTACAAAATAAAACAACAAGAAGAATTATTGAATGTTAATCTACTGAGGGAAAGTATTACCTGCTTCCTCTAAATTTCATTTAAGCTTAATGGCTATAAAGACTCCAGTTTAGAAATAGTTTAATAAACTGATGCTACCATACAACTGTAGTTTTCAAAACAGTGAACAAACACTGGAAAACATATCAAATGTCACATAAATGTGATCTGGTTTCATATACATGGTTTTTAAAGCCATAAATGGCTTTTTCTATAAAAACATGACTGTTTCTGTCTTGAGACGAGACAGAAGTTTAATCTTTAAAGGAGACAAGGAGTTCAATGCATAAGCTGATGATCTGGGCAGTAGCCATGAGGCAGAGATGAACTAATTTGGGGAAAGTACTGCTTGAGGGTGTTTTGAACCGGCATCTAAAAAGACAGAAATGTGTTTCTAAAGGTGAGCTATAATATTGACCTGTGTCAAAATTAATATTATGAAGTCTCAATTTATTAAAAACAAGAAAATCATAAGATCTATTAGTATAAATATTGATTATATCTTTTAAAAGAGGAGTTCAGAATCTCATATTGATCCTCATACAAAGTTAAATTCCCAGAATAAGTTTGGAAGATGGAAAAAGAAATCATTTGAACTCATAATCAGTGCTTAGTTTCCTAGAGCAAGCTGCTCCAAGGAGAATAAATTAGGTTCAATAAAAGGAATTGGTACATAAGGTTTCCAGATAAACCAAACATACTCAGTTTCCAGTCCTACTGAGATCACAGATTAGAAGAGTTTTGAGTTCCTTTTGGGAAAAAAATAACATCACCAAAAGCTGTCTGCCCCTCCCTACACGTGTCCTTAAAGAATGCATTCCTAAATGTACTGCGTAAAGAGGCTCAGCCTCAGCTCACACAAGAAGGAATTGTTCTTTCAGCTTTTCACGCATTGCTTCCAAAGATTATCTCAAGATGGGAGGGAAAAATCCCATCTGAACATTGTCCTTCCTTTCAAAAGTGTCTGGGAGGGCCCAGCAAAGCAAACAGCAAACTCGGAGTTGCAGCACACCCTCCACTAGGGTTTGGGTTTTTTTGTTGGGTTTTTTTCTGTTTGAAATGCTGTTGGTGTAGTGTATTTCAAATCCTCTGCATTATAAACTTCTTTCACTGCTTTGGCACAGGCCTTGGGATCTGAGTTACTGGCCCAGTTCCTGCTAAAAGGCAGTAACAGAATTTCTGGCTGTTTCCCCAATACAACTACTCCTGACTGCTGAACTCCAGAGCATTGCAGCAGGGTGCCTGCTCTGCTGGCCAC